GGCAGATACATCCCGCTTCATGGTGCTCCTGATGCTCTGGAGGTTACCCTCAGAGAATAACCAAATTCCCACTGGCTTCCCAAGTGCCTCTAGCTCCCAGTACCGCCCCTGCCCAATCTCCCTGTGAGCAGGTCTTAAGAGGTAGGTGAATTCATGTGAAAGTCTAGAACACGTGCAGGGAATGCAAAATCTACTGATGGAAGAAGTTAGTTGTTGTTTTTTAACTCAGCTTGGGCACAGCGTCACTGGCCCACGTGGGAATTGAGCTGGAGGCGTTGCTGCTCAGAGCTCACGCTCTTAAGCTAACTCTTAGTCAACTGAGCCACTTGCCGGCCCAAACAAGGTTTCGGTTTGTTTTTGTTTTTCCGGGAGAAGTTTTTTTAATGTCTCCCAGGCAGGTACATTCACTTTCACACTGATCGGTGGCTGTGTCTCCCCCAGGCAACTGCATCTCTCCACTTGCCCAGGGAGGGCAGACTAGGCGCTCTGGGAGACCCTATCCCACTGCTCATCATGCCCTGTCCGTGGCTGGTCTCCCAGACCACCCACCAGACACTGGGCACCCAAGAAAGAGGGCAGGTGCACCGAGAAGAGAGCCCGGCTGGTAGCCAGCAGGACTGCCATGCTCACTCAGCCATGGTGAAAGCCAGCTCAAAGTTCTTCTGCCTCTGCGTGGGGCTCAGGGTGTTGTAGTCGAAGGCATCAGGGAAGAATGAGTGCACCAGGGCACAGAAGGCCATCCCGTCGCTCCAGCTGGAGGAGAAGTTCTGCAGGTCCACGTGCTGCGAGCAAGGCAAGGTCCAGGCGTGGAGGTGAGGGTACAGCCCCCACCCACCTCAGCTCCCCCACCCAGTTCGATTCCATAAGCAGATTCTCCCAGCCCTTCCCCAAGGTCCACCATCCACCCAGCTCAGCCACAAGCTGGAGGCGCCAGACCTCACCACGTAAGGTGCCCTGGACCCATCTGCTCGGGTCCAGATACAGGACTCCTGGGGTTTCTAAGCACATGCTGCAGGCGGCTAGGGACCAACGGGAAAGGCACAATTTCTCTAGCTCCTACCCTGCCCCAGCCTGGGGCTCTTGCCCTGGCCAGGGAAATGAGTCAGGGGCGACGCTCAGCCAAGCCTCCGGCTGGGGTTCCCAGGGGCCAGGGCGGGACCCTGGGCTCACCTGGTAACCAAGAGTCTTGCTGCGGCACCACTCAAGCAAGATCTGCTTGATGCTGCTGGCGCTGGCTACCCCGAAGCTCTGGGAGCGTTTCAGCTTGGCCCGGGCCTCGCCTTTCCCCCTGTGGAGAGAATTCAGGCCTGCAGTGGGGGTCGCTCCTCAGCTGCCATCTCCTCTGAGAGGCAGGGAAGTCCCTAGCCATTCCCACACCACCGGGAAGATGTCCCCACCTGCTCTGCTCATCCAGGGGAGACACTATGTCAGCACAACGTGTCCCTGTCCAGGCATGAGCCCTGCACACCAGCCACATGGCCGCCCTTGATGGAGTCGGCAGGACCCTCCCTGCCTTCCCGCCTCCAGGTGTCCTGGTTATTTCCCACCCTTGGAATCAGCGGTCACTTGGCAACCTTGGGACGGGTGACCTGAGCCTGCATGGCCCTGAGCCCCTGCCTTTGTTTGAACTCCCACTCCCCATTATCCAGCGTCTCCTTACGAGCCTCCCTCTGAAGTCGCCAAACCTGAAGGCTGTTTCCTCCTCTGGGCCCCAAGGACACACTCCCTAATAGCTGAGATGAGGTTGTTTGGGCTGGTGGGGACACTCCCTGGGTCTCTCTCTCTCACTAGAGTCGGAGCCTCAGGGGCCAGCACTGGGGTCTTTTCATCATCTCAGGCCTAAGCTGCACACGCTGCAAGCAACAGGCGTCACTACCATTTACCAGGTCAATGTGTAAGGGTGGGTCCCATCTCCAATGGGGAGGTTCAAGGCATGACAATGGGCCAGTAAGCACTTGGGTCCTGTGTGTCACTTCCCCGCTCCTACGGGGAATCCCAATCAACTGACATTCCAGTCATACCCAGAAACCAAAGGGGCTCCAACCCACAAGGAATGTGGGTGTGAGGGCAGCCTGGGGACCCCTCTGATAACGGGGGAGAGAGGTGGGCTCTCATGAGGCCTTGCCTGGCTCCCTGCCCCCTGGCCCACCCTGTGGCCTAGTTCTGACCTCGGTCACATCTTAGGGAAGGTCTCATGGGGTATAGGACAGGGCCGGTTTTGGGGTGCTGTGCCTTCCTGACCCCAGTCTGGATCTGGACCTGCTCTGGGGGCCCAAACCTGGTCTGGGGACTCGTGTCCGTACTTGCCCGCTGTATCCTGCTCCCACTTCTCAAACAAGGCCTTCCGGGCCTGAGCACTGGAGGTGCGGGGCAGCGTCTGCGACCTCACCAGCTCCCGGCGGCGCTCCCCTTGGCGATGGGCCTGAGTGGTGGCTGGTGGCTGCGGGGATGGGGGCGACTGGGGTGGCGTTACTAGAGCTGGGCTGAGGAGAGAACCACCGAGTCAGGAATACAGGTCCAGCCATCGCTAGCTCACTCAGGCCGCAGGCTCCTCCTCCCCATTGAGTGGGAAATGCGGCAGAAACGGGGGGCTACAGCGGCAGGCAGAAAGAAAGGACCACTTGCTCCTGTCTCCAACCGGTTAGGCAGGTTTTCTGAACTGAGCTGCTGTCTGAAGCAGGCAGCCTGGACAGCACGCCCAACTCAGGGAGGGGGAATGGGCCCCCTCACTGGGTGAGGGTGTCAATGCCTGGGGCAGGCAGGGAGCATCCTCTTAGGAGGGAGGTGTACCCAGAACCAGTCCCACCAGGACCAGACGCCCCTCCTCCACCACCAATAGATAAGACCCCCTTTGTTTTCCCCCGCTGGAACTGTTTGCTGGAAAGTCACAATTCTTTTACTATTAAAAGAAAAAAGAAAGCCAAGCCAGTCCCCCCATCCTACCCACCCCCTCACAGTCCAGCTGGCCTGGGGAATATGGGGACACCTACAGGCCAGGAGGAGGCCTGTACCCCCAGGGAAGCCCCTGCAGGCCTGCTGCAGCCTCTTCAGGTACTTCCACAGTCCACAGGCAGGAAGCACCCTGGCTCGAGGAACCCCAAACAGGGTGGATGGATGAAGACAGCGGGAGAGCTCCTCTGACCCAGCTTCTTTCGGGGGCACTGAAACACTCTTCTAATCTTTTGACAAACTTGCTTTGAAGGGTCCATAGAGAAACCAGCCTGCAGCCGTATTTCTCCAAACTAAACTCTCCCGCAAGCCCTGCTGCTCCAATCCTACCCGGCAGCCCTGCTGCCTCAGTTCTCTGGAGGCACCAAGCCAAGGAGTGTACCTCCTCCTGGGGTCAGGGGCTCCTTGCAGGTGACCTGGGCATCCTGGGTCCAAGGCAAAGCCCAGATGACACCTGAGGAGTGATGACCCCACCCACCAGGAACACGGGAACATGGGCCCTGACTCACCTGTCATTGTTTCTGCCTGCTGTCACTGCCCCATAGCCAGAGCCCAACAAAGACCGTGGGAGAGAAGAATTCTTCTCTGCAGAACAAAGGGAAGGAGAGAAATAACAAGCCCTGGTCTCAGGGAGGGGCAGTCCCTTCTGCCTCCCTCCTGTGACACAGCCCTGCACCGTTTACCCGGCATCACTCCACAGACAGGCAGGACCCCTGGGCTAAGCTGGCCCCACCTCGGCCAACAGTTAAGGAGAAAGGAGGCTGGGAACATAGAGCAATGACACGAAAGAGGTCTTTGAAAGTGTCCCCACCTGCTTTTGAGAACACAGGGCCCAGGGCCTCCTGTGCCACATATCCAGCAAACTTTTCCTTCCCGAACCCTCATTTTGGAAGCCCATACAGCCCAACCGCAGGTCTACCACTGATGCCTGACCACGACGGGAAGGTGGGGAAGGAACTATGCCAATATGTACAGGGTGAGAGGCCACCGTCTAACCACAGCCTCAACCAGTAATAAAAGCCAGGGTTGCCACCTGCAGAGGAGGAGTTGGGCAAGGATGGGTCCCACTGGATGGTGCAGACAGGGTAGGGAGGGGTCACAATGACAGGCAGAGGGGGCACTGGGGCTTTGCCCCAAGTTTTCTGAGTCTCTTGCTAATCCCCCAGCCCCAGTCCACCCTCCCAGAGGGTGGGGTCAACCCCTCAGCCCTTGATCCCCTGCTCCTACCACTGGGACTGGGAGTCCACGGTGTGGTGGCCTCGCTGGGGCTCGAGCTGAGGCCCCCCAGGACGGTGGCAGACGTGGGTGAGAGACCTGTGGCCGAGGTCTCCCCAGAGAACCTCTCGGAGACCCGCGTGATGGCCGTGACTGGCTGGTGGGGCTGTCGCAAGGAGAGGCTCACAGGGCGAGGCTTGGGGGGCTCTGGTGCTGGGAAGGTCTGGGTGGCTTCAGGGGTTCCATCACCTGGACCTGGAACGTGTGACCAGCGGGGTTGGGGGGAGAGGCAGTGGGTGTCAGTCATGGCATCCACAAGTGCCTCAGACCCCCCAGAGAGCTCCAGCCTCCCTGAGCTCTCCCGAATGAGAACTTCTCACTGCTCCAACCAGAGCTGCCATCTGCTTCAACTTCCGCTCGCAGCCAGGTCAGTGAACACTAGTTGGCTTGTCAGTCCACTCTCTACCCTGCTCAGTGCTTGGGCAATTTCTCAGCCCCTGCCTGCATTTCTCCAGACAGAGGAACGCTCGCCACTTTCCAAGATCTCCCATTTCCTTCTGTGTTGAAAAAGTCTACTTGACACTGAATCAAGCTGTTCTCCTGGCAGCCTCTCCACACATTGGGGTTCAAGCTCAAGTCTTCCCCTCCCAGCCAAGGATGCCCTGGCTCAGATGCATGGCCACCAAGGCCCTGACCCCCAAAGCCAGCCAGCCCTCCCTCCTCTGCGGTTGGCCCCTACCTGCCCCTGGTTGGTGTCCATTCTCCATGATGCACGAGTTTGAGGTCCTTCTCGTCTCTGACTCGCTGGCTTCATCATGATAATCCACACTCTACAGAGATACAAACAGCGTGGAGGCCCCGTGAGCCAGAGCTGGCTGCCTACCCCCAAAACCACTCCCCAGAGCCCCTCACGGTTCTAGCAGGGCAAACAACACCCACGTGGGAGAGAGACGGCCCCCAGGACATACTGTGATGGGCCACGGAGACACAGCAAGCCGGGGAGGACCCAGCCCCAGCTGCTGAGCCCCTGGGATCCTGTAGGCAAGTGCCTCTGCTGAACTCATCCAGAGCCAAAAATGCTAGGGTTCGAAAGGAGTGTTCAAGGTGGCCACACCCCTCCCCCAGGCTGGACCAGATGGCCGGGGTCTGGAGAGCCTGGCTCCGGCTCATTCCAGGTGGCAGACTGGTGTGGCTGCCTGTGTGGGAATAGCCGAAACCCAGAGACATACGTAAGGTTCTTCTGAGCCAACAATGGGCCCCGGAGCCCTCATGCCGCGGCCTCTTCATTGGATGCAGGGTCACAAGATTTGCCCAGATGTCCAAAGCACAGGATGTGGCCCCTCCATCCACTCTAGGATGCAGCCGTGGAGAAGGGGCGTAGAGAAAGAGCCAAGACCAAGAACCAATGGGGGAGCCTGGCATCCTGACTGTGCTGCCGGCCACAGTCAGGATGGGTCAGGCCATGCCCGCTCTGAGTTTCAGTTTTTTTGTTTTGGATATGGGAGCAGGCTACGCAAGTACCATTTGAGCATCAACCAAGTTTCAGGCCCTTTTTGGGGGCATGCCACTTATACCTACTTGCTTCTGTCCTCCCAGGGAGGTGCTATCAGCCCCATTTTACAGATGGGACTCAAGGGCTCAGAGAGGGGGTGTGCACAGTCCAAGCTTACACAGTGAGAAAAAGCCAAGACTTGTGGCCAGGAAAGACATTCTCCTAAACCATGGTCTTGCCCTTCACACAGTGAGAGAGGTGTGAAGGGCTCAGAGTATTTGTAAGGCTGCTGGGGTCTGTTAGCAAGAGGGGACTGAGGCAGAACCCTACCAGGGGTTCTACTAAGAACTCATAATGGATGGCTTGAGAGGTTGGCTACACCTCCCCCTAGATGCCTCCAGGCTGGCCCCCTTGTCTATAAGGTTCCCAGGTGACAAAAACCCATCCCTGGTCCCAGATGGCTCAGCTACTTCTGCAACCAGTGCAAGAGGTGGCCACCCTGCCATGGAGGAGTCAGGCTGGTGGGGGAACCAGAACCTCGAGCAGATGGCACCAAGGCAGCCTGAGGGTGTGCCTAAGACAGACTTCATCCAGCCCAGTGGGTCAGGAAGAGCTTCCCAGAGGCAGGAGTGCTTGAGCCAAATCTAGAGCCAGCCAGGTGGACAAGGAGAAGAGGCCATTCCCAGCAGAGTGACTAATGTCTGAAAAAGTTGACAGACATCAGGGCACAAAGCATACTGATCTGGTGGGTGCAGAAGCCCTGTGCAGCCCAAGGTGCCGCCCTGAGAACTTGGAGTTGGCTCTGTGGACCAAAAGGAGTTGAAGGTCATCAGCTCTGTGTTTTAGGAACACCCTTCAGAAGCCAGTGAGAGAGTGGCATGGACTGGGGAAACCAGATGGCCGGCCACCTCACTAGTCCCAGGTGGGGATGTGGGAAGGAAAGATGGATGGGGCAGAGAGAGGTTGAAGGGCGGCAAGACGGACTCAGAGCTTTGGGGAGAGTGAGTGGATGTGGAGCGAGAGGAGGACCCAGGCCTCTCCCAAGTCTGGGCTTCAGGCCTGAATGAAGTGGCTAGGAAGGGAGGGGGCATTGCTGGGGAAACAAGGACTTCAGTTTGGGACACGACTAGGGTAAGGTGCTCTGGGCCATCAGGGAGCTGAGGCCAGGAAGTAGCTGGATATTTGAGTGTGAAGTTTAGGAGGAAAGACAGACAAGCGACGGAGAAACAGGAGTCTTGTATCTGAAGCACAGAAGAGGAAGAGCTGGCTCCGGGGTGACAGGGCCGGGGATGAGGCACCACATTTGAGGGGAAGAGGGGGCATCTGCAGATGAGAAGAAGGAGCAGCCAGGCCGGTAGGAAGAAAACCAGAAGGTTGTTGAGAAAGGCAGGTGGAAGTGTATCCAGAAGCCAGGTGTGTCAGCAGCGTCCAAAGGTGGCCTCAGGTCAAGGAAAAGAAGGTCAAGATGAGATCTAAAATGCATCCGCTTGGGTTTAGCAAAAAAGAGGTCACTTGTGACGGTTTAGGAACTGAATCAGAGGCATAGGTACGGGACAGGAGATGGCCTGGGGGACAAGCCCGGGAGAAATGGAGACCACACAGTAACTTTAGCCATGAAGGGAGAGGGGAATAGGGGTTTGAGGGGTTCTTCCGGATGGAAGGGGTAGGACAACATTTATAGGCTGAGAGAAAGGCTCCAGCAAGGTGAGGGGACCCTCTGTGAGGCGGGGTCTCTGGGGAAGGACTCAGAGCCTGGCCTTGGACAGGAGGTGACCCCTCAACTTCAGATTCAGGAGCACAGAGGGGGAGGAGCCAGACCTACTCACAGGAACAATGGAGAAGGGTGGGGGGCATCTCCTGGCACCCCAGAGTGGGGAGGGCATTGCTTGCTTGAAGCCAACTCGGCAGGCGGTGGAGAAACAACCAGTCCATCCTGAACCCCAGCCCCCACCTATCACCAGGTTCCACCCAGCTCTGGGGTCTCCATGTCCCCCCCACCCACCCTGCTCTGGTCCAACAGGTTCCACAGGTCCAGGCAGGGGCCTGGAGGGACAGGCTGATGGCAAAACCATTTCCCCAGGAATGTAGGTTTCTGGGGGGGGGGCCCACAGACACGCTTGCCCCTGCACGTTGCAGGCCCACACCTCCCATAATGCCCCAGGGGACCAGACGCTACAACCAGACAAGGAGGTTCTGGACCAGGAAGATTCCTGCCAAGGGGTCTTGGCAGAGCAGAGGGGAAGGGGATAGGGGGGACTCATGCTGGGAGCCTGGACTGCAGCCGGGTGAGGGCTGAGCCCTAACTCCCAGGTTCCCCTGCTCTCACTCCTCCATCCCGAGACTGGAGCCACTCCTCACCCAGGGAAAGGGCTCTGTCCACATCTCAGGCCAAGGGGCTATTTGGAGGCCACCTTCCAACCCATCATCACACAAGCCCAGTGTGGAGGGTCACACCCCTAACCTTACACCTAGACTAAAGGCACTAGCAGAGTCTAGTTTTGGGACTCAAGCCTCCTACTCCAACCCAGGGCTCTGCCCACAAAGCGCTCTGGCCTTCCAGAGGGCAGAGGGGACAATTCAAGACAAACTTGTCTCTCAGGACCTGGGGCAGGGTAAGTCCTGGCACGCCCCTCGAGGGGGAAGAAGCCAGGTGTGAGTGGTTAGCCACCCTACTCGACCATGGTTTTCCTTTGGTGGAGGGCAGCCTGCCTCGGCCACAGGGAAGAGAAGCAGGGAGGGACCTCTGTGTGCTGGGCAGAAATCCCTGGAGAGCCCTGGGGACGGGAACTGGTCCTGTGGATCTGACTCTAGCACCTCCAAGATCCCTGTCTGGGCTTTGTTTTAAGAAGGGGAGGCTCCGATGAGGGAGCCCTGGCCTGGGAAATGTTAGGGGGAAAGGTAGGGGTAGCTATAAATCTGATTTCAGGGACCCTCTCACTGGGGATGTTTATAAATACTTTTGTGAGGGCAGGAATAATGACACTCTCAGTGCTACCTGATCCCATACGGGCTCGTGTGTGGACACGGGAGCCCATGCGTGTGCCCAGCACAGCCCACATGGCCAGAACCCCCATCCTAAGCCGGTTAACACAGGGATGCCCCGCCCTCCTCCTCACTCACACCACAGCTTTAAAGACTCAATTCAAACTTCTCCCTAAATCATTTAACTCCCTTATCACACAGTGTGTCTGGGAAAGGAAGGCAGATAAGGCGAGTCTGGTTTCTTTCATGGCCGGGCCTGACACCACGCTCCTGGCAATAGTTCCTGAGGGACTCCACTGCCTTGACCATGGAGACCCAGAGGCTCCAGCTCAGCCGAAGGCATTTTCAGGGAACAACTGTGACCCAGGCTCCAGGGCCTGGCCTGGCCTCAGGCTGCTGCCATCTACTGCAGGCCCCCGGCCGGCTCTTTCCGCCCGCCAGACCACAGTTGAGGCTCTGTGGACACTTTTATGAACAGATTGGGCTGATGTCACTGCTGTAACTACCCAGCCCGCTCAGTGCAAGAGGCCCAACTGGTCTGTGCCAATCCCCCTTGGTTTAGATACAAGGAAACGGAGGTCCAGCTGGGAAGAGATGCCCCCAAGGCCTCAAAGCAAAAGTGCCTAAACCAGCTGCTGTCTGCTCCACGGCCTCCTACAGGGAGTCCTCCCTGGTTACTCCCACTGCCCTGCCCTCCTGCCCTCTTCCTCCTCCTGGGGCCTCCCTGGCTACTCTGTTTCCTTACTACCTGGCTCTCCCATTGGACCTGTCTTAGCCAGATATGCAAGGTCCTTAGCAAGGTCAAGATTTGTGTACTCAGAGTGGATTACTTGATCAACCCTTTCTGCATTGAGTTCAGGGCACATTTATATGCTGAATAAGACCCCCCCTCGAATTCCTACAGTCCCCACTTTGAAACAGGATGCAAAAGTGTCTCCCAATCTCACTGCTTATTACAGGGGGGCGGTGTAACACCAGCCTCCACAATGCCTGACCACAGCCACCCCAGGCTAGCGTGTGCGATGAGACCCTCACACCCAGACCACTCCCCTCCCCCACAACATAGACGTGGGGGTTTGAGAGGCCAGGGAAGCAGCAGCCCCGGCCCTCTGCCGTGACCCTGTCCAGTCTTGCCCTGGAGCCCTGACTCCCTGTTCATGACCAAGCGCCCAATCACATGCTGCTGGTCATAGCACATAAGCAGGAACATGTGGATGGATGGCTCCACGCAGCCCCCCCTCACTGCCAGAAACCACTGGGCGCCTGTGTCAGCACTCCTGAGAGGTGGGCTACAAGAGAAATGGGGACCTGTGTGCTTCTAGTCAGGTGGGGGGAAGCTGCCTCAAGCCCAGGAAGCGAGCCTCTGACCCCACTGGAGCCCCTGACCATCCTGCACCCACAGTCCTCAGCTATGCCTGCCATGCCATCTCACCCGAGGCCCTTCTGAAGTCCACAACCTACTCCCCAACTGTGTCTCCATGCTCTTCCTCCAGCCACTACAGCATCCCTGCCGACCTCCAGCCTCTTCTTCCAGGAGGCTCTCCTCTCTCCATTTCTAAGAGTGGGCTCTCCAGGGCCTTCCAGCTCCCTGGCAGCAACTCTGCCTCTGCCCAGGACGTCTGCCCACCCTCTCCTTCTGCACAAATGCCCTGAAGACCTCGCCCACGCCAGGGCTTCAACTACCAGCTCTGCTCTGTTGTCTCCCTAAGCTGCGGCCTTAACCACTCTCGGTGCACCAGATCCGTGACTCCACCTGCTCTGGGACAGCTTCACCCTGGATGTCCCACAGCCCCTCACACTCAACCCGACCCAAACAAAACCCAGGATCTCCACCAGATGTGTGACCCAGTAGTTCCCCAGGCAGGGCTGCGCTCTCTGTCCCCCTGCTCACATCCAAAGACTATCTCATCCTGCTGATGCCCCCTCTGAGGCCCAGCTCCAAGGCAGCCCAGCCCTCCAGCCACCCACCACTGCCCCAGCTATGACCATCCTCTCTCCTTGAGCCATCACAGTTAAGTTAGCCTGTCTCCAGCCACCCTCCAACTCGCCCCATCCATCCTTGAGGGAGCTTGCTAGATACAAGGAGGACCCTGTCCCTCCCCTGTCCAGCGCCCCTCACCCACCACCCCCATAGGCAAGAGGACTAGCTCACCTCAGGTGATCATGGCCAACTCCCATGGAAAAAAATTAGATGGCTGGAGAGAATCCTTTCATATATGTACACGTATGCATGTACATGGATGTATTTATACGCATATGACTGGGAGTATTTTTGTTACGACTTGGGCAGCTGCTTCCATGAGCAGACAAGCAGCAAATAAACGCATGTTAAAATAAAACCTCAGAAACAGCCGATGACACAGTTTATTAGGCATGTGTGAGCCCACAGTGGTGACTTTATACCATGGACATGTAGTGTCCATGCTCATAGGGGAGAATTACATGCTACTTCACACGGAGCACTGGGTCAGCCGGGGGCTCTGCCACCAGCACATGTTTAAGTACCTTTCGTGTCCTGGGGCAAAGCCCAGCTCCCAAGCCCAGCATCCAAGGGGCCTTCACAACTTGCCCCTCCACTCTCATACCCACCCAGCTCCCCTATGGCCAGGGAGTCCTTTTACTCTTTCTGAGGCTGCATGCACAGCTCCCCACAGCACCCCTATCTACAGCAGCAGCAGCAGCAAGCCCTGAACCTTCAACACAAAGTCTTCCTGGGACACCCACTGGGAAGGGCTGATGGTGTTTGGAGCAGAACATCTGCTCTGGCTGCCTGCACTATTGATACTGCTCCATCTAGGGCCATCTCCCACCCAGACTAGGACCTCCAGGGGCAAGGGCTAATCTGATCCTCTTCCCCCTGGCTCCCTGAGGTGCACACAGGAGACCCGAGTGCCTGATGGATTGAACCAAGGAGGGGCAGCAGGTGCAGACTACTCAGACAAGACCTTGGAAACCCAACCCCAGAGCACATGCCTGAGCAGGGTGGAAAATCCCACCTAACGGCCACTGCACACACCATAAAAACATTCTAACTAGCCACTCCAAGAGGCCCCGTGCTCAGGGTAGTGACCTGTCCACACGGGCCTCCGCCCCTCCCCCACGCAATTTGGCTTCTAGCCAGCCACTGAGCCCAGGAATCTACAGACTGCTCAAGGCTGGTTTCCGTCTCTACCCTCACGGTAAGGGATTTACCCCCTGCAATGCGAGTTCGCAAAGGCTGCACCCGACCAGATGGCGTCCTCCTCCCCGCACACAGGGGCTTGAGCTCTCAATCTGGGTTAATTGATAACCAGAACCGTCAGGCCTCAGTGAAGCGGCAACGTGGGGGGAGAGGAGGGAAGCGAAGGCGCGTGAATGGAGGGGGGTGGGTAGCGGGTGCTGACCATTGCAACACCCCAGCGAGGCCCCGAGCGGTGTAGAACGGTCAGGGGCCAGACCTCCAGGTCCAAGCCCTTAGTGTCATGGGACAGCGGGGAGAGGGAGACATACATCGGAGCAAACAGGGCCAGGCTCCAAAGAAGGGAGGGGGCCCGAGACAGGTGCAGTGGGCCGGCTAAGACAGTGCTTCTCGGCCTTCTCCAACTCCAGAGTAGCGGCGGGACTCACACCACCGAATCTTAGTGGCGGGTGGAGACAGAGGTTCCCTCCATCCACCACCCACCCCCACCCAGCAGACTTATGCACTTGGGGTGGCAGGGCGGCACCTGCAGAGCCCCACTCCCCCAGCGCACGCGCACGCACACGCTCTCCCAGGGTTACCTGGCTGCGGCCGGACAGCGAGAAGGTGGCATGGCTGGCGAAGCGTGCGGTGCCCAGGCGGGGCGCACGGTCCGGAACACCGGGAGCAGGCGGAGGGCTGGGCGTGCCTGGTGTACCGGGCGCAGGAGACAGCCCTGTCGCCAAACCCAGCGCTTCCACCTGGCGCGTCAAACGCTCGAGCTGCGCCTGCAGCCTCTGGTTGTCGCGCTGCAGCTCGGCCACCGTGCGCGCCAGCGGGCCGGCCAGGCGCAGCGCCTCGGCCACGCGCCGCTCCACACCGCGCTGCAGCCCCTGCATGTCCTCGTGCAGTGCGCGCACCGCGCCCTCCAGCGCCGCTTCGTAGCGGCCCAGAGCCTCGCGCACCGTGCACGCCTCCGCGGCGTCGGGGGCCGGCTCCATGGCGGAGCGGGTTGCACTGGACTAAGAGCGGGCCTGGCAGCGACAGAAACCAAGCTCGGCAGCTCCGGGCCTCGACTGGCCTTCCCCAGCTGGGCTCGCCGGAGGGGCGGTGGGAGAGGCGGTGGGAGAGGCGGGCACAGGGCGGGGCGTACCCGCGAGTCCAGGGACTGGGCGCCACGCGGGGGCGGGGCCTCGGAGGCGGGGCCATCTTGGTGACACCCCGCCCCCCTGGAGACCCGCGGCAAGGTGCGGGGTGCGGGCCGTCCGAGGTGCCGAAGGAGAAGAGCTCACCCCGCCTCTCCGCCCCGGGTTCTGGGGTTGCTAGCCAACGGGGCAGTGCTGAGTCCCAGCCCCCTTGACCCACAAGAAGAGACGTGCGGCCTAGGGGAGGGGCTGCGGGCCCACCGGAAGAAAGCCTTGACCCCTAAGTGGATTTTACTTTGAGAACCACAGACGCGGGTTACGCATTCACTAGGCGCTCTCACCCGCAGGGCCGGTGTCCTCCTGGGGATGGGGACTTACCCACTACTCAGGGAGACCTGAGAATAGCAGCAGCAGTCCCCAGAACTGTCCCATGACCCTCACCCTGTGCCAGACACTGTCCTCCCACGAGCACCTGTCCCTCTCACCTGTGGGACCTTCACCTGGATTTTCTTGTACCTGTTATAAGACCTAAGCGAGAAGGAGACAGATGGTGAGGTTCCCTCCCTGCCTCTGCAGTTTTGCGCTTTTCCCCCCAGACCCATTCTGTGCAGCTCTATCTTCGTGCCCTCCAGCCAATTCAATAGATGCTTCAGGCTCATCAAGTGACTCCTGTTAGATGAAGAGAGGCTGAGGTCAGACAGAGAGGAAAGGGTGTGCTTAGGGCCTAATCTCCAAATCCTGGGATGGTGATTTTGGGACTAATCAGCCCCTCCCTCCATCAGAGTCTCCCTCACGAGCTTCTATCCACAGGCGAGGCTCTCACCTCTATTCCCTCTCAACGCTTTTTTTATTCCTGAGCCCAGATATTCCTCCTTTCTAACGCCCACCTCGAATCATCACAAGAACGGGAGGAGTGGAAACGGTTATTCCTTCAGGATGATAGGATGATGGGCAAAGATACTGTAAGTTTCCATGTATACCGTATTGTAAAACTGACTTAAAAATGGGTACATCCCATCCTTCTCTGTGCAAAAAAACCTTTCCTGATTAGCCTTTTCCTTCCCAGGCCTGGCCCACCTGAAGGAGGCCCTGTGGCTGGGAAGGCACAGCCAGATGACTGCAGGAATGAGAGATCTGAAAGGCTTGTTCCTGTCACCTTAGGCTTCCAACGATGTTTGGAGCCACAGACCTCCTGGGCTGGCCTGCACTGCCCCAAAGGAGCTGGATCAGTATAACAGATGCTGAGTGCTGACCCCCCTTCCCCCTCCACCATGGGGACAGGAAGGAATGCTGGGTTACCTAATCCAAACAGCCTTCCAGCAATTATTTCATGAGAAAGTCAAGTGCCAAAAGGCGTGCATGTTGCATGTGTGTGTGCGTGTGTGTGTTCCAAGTAGCTGTCTGGACAGGGTGAGCCAAACCGCTCCCTGCATTCTTTCTTTGGGTAAAATCTTTGATAGAGACCGTGAGAGACACTGCTGCTGCAGCTTCCACCCCAGATGGCACCTGTAGCCCCCTACAGGTCTGAGCATGGGAGCCTGGAGTTCAGAAGCCCTGATCACAGCCAGAAAAGCCCAGTCCCTTCCTTTGCAGGACCCAAGGAAGGACCATGGGGGAAAGTCTTAGAAGGAACTGGACAGCTTGACCCCTGGTCCTACAGCCAATGTGCACCTGGGCATGTGCCTGGACCAGCAGCATAGGTGGGGGGTGGCAGGGATTCAGCTTTGCCTCTCACCCAGAGGAAGGAAGGCTGGCCGGGTCTGGGGGTGGGAATCTTAATAGTGAGAAAGAAGTGAGAGACTGTAGAGACTGGCTGCCTGGGATCCATCCACATTCTCCTACCTCATGTAGGTTATCTGGACTGTTTTGCTCCATCATGAGAATACCTGGGAGGGGCTGCTTGGGGGCAGGACAGGGCAGGACAGGGCTCCATCTGCAGCTGAAGTAGGGACTCTGTCGAGGGCAGAGATGGGGTTCTCTGTGGGTCCTAGGAAGGCAGACGGTACAAGAATCAAACCACCCCCCTGGCTCCTCTCCCTCAGCAGTCAGACCACTGAGTCAGTAGCTGGAGATGAGCCTAGGAGGTAAGGAGACATGAACCAGGAGCGTGAGGAAGAGGAGCAGAGGGGCAGAGGGGCAGGCATGGAAGGCAGGAGGGGGATAGGAGGTGATTCTGGAGTGGGGTGGGTTTGAAGACCAGCGCCGCCCAAGAGCTGGCACCATGGCCAGGTGGAGGGAAGCTGCCTCAGCTCCAGGACCCTCCTCTCGCCCTCCTCCAGTTCAGCTCCTGCCCAGTACCAGGCTGTGAGGGAGGTAAGGGCTGATGAACCTGGCTGAGCTCCCTCCACATTCACCAGCTCTGATGTCAGTGCGCTGGTGAGGCTGACCTCCCACAGAGTCCTGGGGTCTCTGGCGCCTGCCCTCCCAGCCCCCCCTTCACCTGGCTCTGACCCCTCCGCAGCCTGCTGGTCCCTGATCTGCTCTGGTTCTAAGCTTGAAGCAGGATGTGGGACAAACCTTCCTGAGCCCCCCTGTCAGTCCCCTCATGAGATCAAATCTTTGCCAGACCAAAACCAGGAAATCATGGACCTGAGATGGGGAAATGGAGGCCCTGAGAGGGACAGGAACTGGCCCCAGGCTACATCGCAAGGCATACAAAGACAGGACTGGAACCCCAGGTCCCAGCCCCAGATTTGAGACACTCCTTGTGTGCTGGTCCCAGCGCACCTCCTGGGGCAACAGTCAAATTCAGTGGGCAGCTCCTCACTGCTCCCAGGTTAGTTGGAGGCTCCACGCCCCTAGAATTGCTCCTCATCTCTCTCCAGACTCCCTTCCCGCCTTCTTGCTTTTTTCTCCCTGGGGAACTTCCTGAGTGACTCTTTTTCACTCATCCCTGAACCACGGTACTTCCCAGGGTGCTAAGCTGGGCTTGTTCCCTTTCACCCACAGGCCCTCTCAGGGGGAGTGTCACCCACCCACATCCGTGCTGATGACTCCCACTTCTCCACCTCTAGCCCAGCCCGTCTCCCAAAACCCGCCCGCCTCCAGTCCTCTGTCCTGAAGGTCCCACCCTCTCCTCAGACACCTCAGGTCCTGAGAACACACATAGGGATTACAGGGTGAGGAAAGGTCATAAGAAGGGAGATGGTTCAGTCCTCTGCAGTCCTCTGCCCACCTGCCTGTTACCGCCCTCCGCCCGCGGCCCTCCACAATGGGTCCATATGCATGGGTGCAGTGCATACACACATCTGCATGCACATCGTCAGACCCCATCCTTGGAGATCAGGGGCTGTCTGTCTCAACTGTTCTTCTACCCCAATGCTAGCTTCAGAAAGTGCTCAATACATACTGGGTGATTGAATGCCTGGGGAAAGGGGACCATTGGAGAGCCAGTGGCACCAACAGGACTGCTGGATGGATGGACAATGGGAAGAGAGAGGAGAGACAGAGGGGAGATGCAAGGGTGTGTCCCAAATGCTGGCTTGGGTGTGTGGGGGCTATGGGGGTACCACTCACTAAGACAGGTCACAGAGAGGGTACATTAGATGGCATAGTGAGCCATGGGGGGCTCATAGATGCTACACAGAGCTTGTCTCCAAGGTCACATCAGCCTTTGTGCTAGGTCAAAGGCAGCTGCTTACCTTACTGGTCACCTCAGTCTTTCAAGCCGCTCTGCCGGGAAGGGCCCAGGTTGGAGTGTCATGGGCCAGACCAGAGCCATTATCGGTCAGGCCCTAATTGGGCGTGCCACACTGTCCGTGCAGCCCTCAGCTTGATGGGGCTACTAAGGGGCCTGGCAAGTCAGGCTTCATAACTGGAAAGGTGCATGAAAGCAGCCACACCCCACTTGTCATAGTCAGGCACCCAGAGGGAACAAACTAACAAGGACTCAACAGAGAAGTACACTCCAACACTAGACCCCCTGGCAAACATACCATCCCCCACTCCTCCTCCCAAATTCTGAAATCCAGCCCCTGCCCTAGAAACTGTTGCCTTGTTATGAGATCCATAGGGGTGGGGACACAGAGCTTGTGTTTATCTTTTCCTGCCAGGTTGCTGGGTTCGGGAGCCAAGAAGAGTGCTAAGCCGGGAGGCACGAGTGTGGTGCAGGCTGTGCAGCAGAAGCCCTGGGGTGAGCAAGTGCTGGAGTCCCCAGGCCTCATCTCCACCCCAGTGAGGGGCACCTGGGGCTCCGCCTCACAGCTCTGCCTGCCTCAAGTGGAGCCACTGAGGCCCATCCTGGGACCCCGAGGCCCCTGCAAGGTCGGGAAGAGACTCCTGCCCCTGGGTCACTCCCACTCCCCTCTACCAAGCCCTTCTTTAAACTCCATCCCTCCATCTCAGGGACACTGTGCCGGACACACATGTAAACTTGTAGTGTTCATCTTTTCCCCATGTATCTGAGGGCGTGTCTGTGCATGTATCATGCTTGCACATACATGTCTGGGTATGTCTGTGAAGAAGAAAGACATGGGAATCACAGTCTCTAAGACCTGCACACATATGTGGCATGTGGGGCGTGTGCACATTTGCAAGCACCCGTGTTTCTAGAATGGATTTTTATGCATTTGCTCGTAGATGGTGAATGTGTTTATGAACACTCATATGTACGCATGCCTGTAGTACACATGTCAACATAGACATCAGGATGTGTCCTATGCTGCTGATACCACACGCATGCCTGAACATGTGTGTCATGTGTCTGCACGTGCTTACATATGTCAGATGTCTGTGTGAGCGTGGTATCGTTGTGTGATCATGAGTATATGTGTGAGTATGACCATGCGTGTCACATGCCCCATTTCTTGCTGACTCTTTAACCAAACCTAGAAGTCTGTTTCTTGAAGGTGCTCTGCAGAGACTCTTGCATATACAATTCTAACGGTGGCCCTGATCTGAGGAGGTAGTAATAGAGAGCAGACTTTCCTCCCTCCTGGACCAACGTTGGGCCCCGTTAGGCCCAGTGAAGGAGCAATTTCCCACAGGCCTCTGCTGAGGCCCAGGCTACCCAGAGAGCAAACAGCACGCATCCCTGCATGGAGGAGCCTGTGGTCCTCCCCGCCGAGGTGGGGGCTACACAGGGTGTGGAGTGGAGACAGCTGCTTCCAGCCCAGATAAGGCTGTTGGGCTCATATTTTCCATTTCCAGGATCCTCCGCCTCAGGTCCCAGCCCCTAAGCCCTGGCCCTATGGCCTCCACTGACTCACCCCAACCCCCCACCCCCACCCTGGGATCTGCAGAGCCAAGTGGGGAGACTCAAGTCCGGGAAGAGCATGTACTCCGCCAAAGCCACTGGAGATTAGGGAAGTGGTCTCTGGGGTAGGACAGGCCCAGCCCGGGGCCCTTACAGCTAATATCCTGACCTTTGGGCCTCCGGAAACCCGCCCAGAGATGGAAGGAAGGAGGACAGGCCCCTCCTCTTATAACAACAGTCCCTGCATGGAGGCTGTCTCTGCCCTGCCCAGCCTGGCTGCCTCAGCACGGAGGACTCTGAGACCCAGAGGAGCAAGCAGTCATCTGGGGGCAGAACTGGGCTCGAACTCTGGGCTCCTTCTCCCTTTCCCCAGCTCCTCCACAGCTGCCCACCCAAAGGCCTGGCCCCTCCAGCCCTGCCTGGCCTACCTCCCCTCCCCGTTCCTGGGCTATTTATAGGGCCTGGCTCAGTGGCCTCCAGGACAAGAGGAGCCAGAGCTCCAGGGCTATGGCTCACCGGGCCTTCCCCAGGGGCCCCCACAGGCTGGGCAGTGTCTGCTTTCAGCCTAGCAAAAGGCCTGGTCACTCAGAGTGAGCAGTGGGGGCGGGGAGGCCAGGCTGAGGTGGGGGTTGAGCGGAGGCCTGGTCCAGGGGCCTGCTGGAGCCTTTTGCAGTCCAAAGACAAGCTGGGCTTCCTCAAAAGCACGGGGGCTGGAGGCTTGTACAGGAGGTCTCAGGGGGACCAGCCCTTCCTTGGGAAGGCTTGGGAAGGGCAGAGACCAGCATCTGGGCCCCCCAGGCTGCCACCTCCTCTGCCAGCACCCAGAGTCGCCTTTCTCTAACAAAATGGTCCCTCTGATCCACGGATCCCCTCCACCGACAGGGGGATGCCTGAGGGTGCACTCAAGGTCCTTCCAGCAAAATGCACAAAACTCACACTTCTGCAATTTTGCCTACCCTGGCACCACGGCCTGAAGCGTCCCTCGCACTAGCCATCCCATCTGTCAAGTTCCTGCTCATTCTTCATCTCTTCAGAGCCCAGTGTTAGTGCTGCCTCCTCTGCGAAGCCGTTCCTGATGAAGCTGTCACCACCCCTCGCCGCCACTCGCGGCCCCACCATGACCATTAGAATACGTATATTCCTCCTGCCCTTATCTTCCTCCTCCAATGTGGGGCTTGTGCCCTCTTGAGCAGAGATCTCTGTTTAGGGTGTCTGTGAAGTTTCCCATCACCCTCAGGCTAAGGGGTCAAGAAGGGGCAGGAGCCTATCTCACTCATCCCTCCGCCCCATCGCCCCGTCCCCAGCTTTATCAGCCGATGCTTATTGAATGAGTGAATGAAGGGGGAGAAGTGCTGAACGAATGAGTGCATGAACTAGTGATGGACTAGTGAACAGAGGTGGAGAGAACAAGCCAGGGAAGGAAAGTAGAAAAGACCTCTTCTGTGTCTCCTGAACCCCAGAGTTACTAACTACCTGGTGTCCCAGTGGGCGGGAAGGCAGCGGGGCAGCCCAGGCCAGGGCACGGTGACATGGCTTGGCCCTGGGAAGCGGCCAGATCGGTCACTCATTCTTTCCAGATCAAAGTTCCCCCAGGGAACAGCCTGGAACCTGAAACTGGTGGGGGAGGTGGGGGTGTTGGGCCAGTTGGCCCCGTTCAGGAGGAGGGCACACAGAGGCAAGGCACCTGTTCCCAGATCCAGGGACACCAGGCCAGCAGCCCAGGGATGAGACTGGACACACATACACACACTTACTCCAGCCTCAGACCCAGCCCTTCCCTCAGATAAAGGGCCACACAGGTAGGTAGGGAACCCCTGGCTCCAGGCCCTTCTGTTCCAGACTCCCCAAGGACTCCAAGCCCCCCAGGCCCCAGGGGCTCCGCTCCTTCCGCTTCACCCTCCATGTCAGTTTTGAATCACTCCCTGCCCCATCTCTCAGTGGCTTCCATCTCGGACACCCTCCGGATCCATCTTCCTCTGTCTCCCAGTCGTTGCGTCTGTTTTTCCGTCATTGCACCTTTCTGTCTCAGCTCTCCACATTTCTCTGCATTTTTTGATCCCCTTGATCCTTGTATCCCGGTCTCTTTCCATCTCTCTGTATCTCCTTAGATATGAAGAATAACGGAGTGGTGAGTCAGCCCTTTCTTCTCAGGAGGAGCTGTCTCACATGCTTCCCACTCTCCAGCCCCTGTTCCCTACAGTCTACAGTGAAAAGATGTTTCCCAGTGGTGGAACAGGAGTGGGAGAGAATGGGAGAGAACAGAACCCATGGCCCCTGTTGCAGCCAGGCCCCCTTGGTAGCCTCAGGCTGCTATGTCTGAGCCAGACCTAGGTCATGTGAGCAGGCAGGGAGGAAGTGGGCAGAGCTGGTCTGGGGCAGGAGGCCCATGTCAGTGGGCCAGGTCCCTGAGTCTGCCACTCCTGTCCTTCCTTATTCCACTGCAAGCTATGGAAAGTCATGCCACAGCCAGTGTTTGACTTCATGCCCCCATCCCCATGTACAAACTAGCGTGCAAGCGCACACACACACACACACACACACACACACACACACACACAGAGTATAGGGGCGTGACTAAGAGCACAGGACTCCAAATCTCAGTCATGGCTCACCACTCCTTGTACCTCAGTTGTCTTATCTGTAAAATGGGGAATATAATAATAGTATCTGTGTCCTAGGATTGTTTCAAATTAGTTCATGTTTGTAAGGCCCTTACAAAGGCCATTATATCTGGCAGATAGTGATGTGTGTGTGTGTGTATTTAATGAATATGCATACATGCTTCGAACTTGACTCTCACACACTGCGAGTTGTTCCACTTTTATCCTGTTGCCTGAAGCTGAGCCAGATCCTGGTCACCAACAGGTCCAAACAGGCCTGATGTGAGTAGCTGTAATTCGAGTCAAGGAATAACATACAGTTCTGGGTGTGTGCATTTCTATAGATCTGCTTGTGAAACAATGTCTAGTTCACAGCGGCCGCATCACATGTGGAGAAGTCACATTAATCTGGTTAAAAATGGTTGAAACCATCTCCTGCTCTAATCACATAGACATGAGATTTTTAAAAATTAATAATCACATAAATGCAATCAATAACACAAGAGGGGGCCGACTGGGTGGCACAGTTGATTAGAGCGCGAGCTCTGAGCAACAGGGTTGCCGGTTCGATTCCCACATGGACCAGGGAACTGTGCGGAGCTAAGCTGCCACTGAGCTGCCAACGGGCAGCCGGATAGCTCAGCTGGTGAGAGCGCATGCTCTTAACCACAAGGTTGCCGGTTCTACTCCTGCATGGGATGATGGGCTGTGCCCCCCGCCCCGCAACTAAGATTGAACACGGCACCTTGAGCTGAGTAGCCGCGAGCTGATGACGGGCGGCCGGATGGCTCAGTTGGTTAGAGCACATGCTCTTAACAACAAGGTTGCCAGTTTGATTCCCACACGGGATGGTGGGCTGCGCCCATCGCCACCACCACCATCACCACCACAACTAAGATTGAAAGCGGCAACTGGACTTAGAACTGAGCTGCGCCCTCCACAGCTAAGATTGAAGGACAACAACTAGACTTGGAGCTGATGGGTCCTGGAAAAACACAGTGTTCCCTTCCCCAATTCCCCAATAAAATCTTTTAAATAAATAACACAAGAGGGGCATGTTTGTAGACAAGAAACAGAGATTTCTTAAAAAGAAAGGCAATCCCTGAGGACTGGAAAGTGAGCCAGGCCTACTGTGTAAGGTGTGGGCTACAATATAAATGCTAAGCCAGGCTGGGGCCTCAGCCTGTTTGGTGTCAGGACCTGTGCTGCCAGGTGGTGAACATAAAGCAAAGCAGCTCCAGCTACGCTTCAAGATCATGGCAAAAACCAAAGCCACAAGGTTATAGTTGGGCCCTCAGCAGAGCCACCAAGCTCAAAGGGACTGTCACAGAAATGCATCGCTCCCATGAAGTGGAGCCCACAGTGGGACCCCTCTAAGAAAACCCTGGTCTGGAACCAGCCAGGTGCAGACCACGCTGAGGTCACTAGCAGACGGCCTTGTGTTTTGAGGAATCTCCAGATAACCTCACAACCAAAAATCACAGAGCACTGAGGAGACAAGCAAAACCGGCAAATGGAAAAACTGATAGCCGAAAATCATCAAGTTTTAGAGCAATTTAAAATAGGTATCTTTAAAGTCCTCAAAGAAATCAGAGTTATCTAGAGAACGAGTAAGATGGCAAAGCAGATAAACGCTGTGCTTGCCTCGTCCCATGAACATATCAAAATCACAACTAAATTATAGAACAATCAACCTGGAGAACCATCTGAAGTCTATCTCAACAGAAGTCTTATTTATTTTGTTTTGTTTTTTATTGGGGAACAGTGTGTTTTTCCAAGACCCATCAGCTCCAAATCAAGTAGTTGTTTCAATCTAGATGTGAAGGGTGCATCTCAATGGCCCATGTGGGGATCGAACCGGCAGCCTTGGTGTTATGAGCACTGCGCTCTAACCAACTGAGCTTACTGGCTGCCCCCTCAACAGAAGTTTTATAACCGAAGATATAAAGAAGAAGCCACGTTGAGACTGGTAGGAGGGGCAAAGATGCGAAATGGGCTGGGCCCAAACCTCTATGTGGAAGATGAAAATTGGAAGGGATATGTCTGCTACAGAGGTTCCCCCTGGAGGACCAAGGACCCCAGCCCCCACACTAACCTCCCCAGCCCAGAGTACTGGTGCTGGGAAGAGGAGACCCACACATCTGGCTGTGACAAACGGTGGGGATTCCTACCATCAGGGTGGGATGGAAAGCATTGGGAAATTCAGCCATCTTCTGAAAGGGCCCATGCGCAGATTCACTCACAAGTACTCACCCTGGGCTCCAGCAGAAAGACAGTGACTCAGGGGGCATTGGAGACATATGGGGTTGGGGGAGGGGGCAGTCTGAGGCATTTGGCCTCGGGGGGAGGACAGTCTGCATTTTCTCTGTGTGGGGAACTGCTCCCTTACAACTGGCAGGCTGGCGCCATCTTTCTCGTGTTGATCCTGCCCCCTATGCTTAAGGCCAAATCTGAATCTGATTGGTCTGCTGAGCTTTGCAGCTCTGCCTTGCTGACTCACTGGGACCCCACCCCACCCAACTCCCTACCGCAGGAGGCTTTATCAGCAGCTGAACTTTACCAGAGCCAGTAACCAGCAACAGGCGACAGCAGGCCTCGGTGTGTCCTGGCTTTTTGCAGAGCTACCCCAGACCTGGTACTGGTGGCAGCCATCCTCGGTTTTCATTGTGGCCTTTCTCACATGCCTCCAGGTCCAGCACAGGCAGTGACAAACCATGGATCACTTTGTAGCTCCTACCAGGTAGTCCCCGACCAGTTCATAGGCCTGCACCAGAGCCCCCCTCAAGAGGCCTCCAAGCCAACTTGGAGGTTGGCTTCAGACCACAGCAGAACACCATACAATTAGTCCCACAAGTGGCACACCCCAAAGGATGGTCTCAACAGGCACCAGAGCCCACTGGGTTGAATCCTGCTCTGTGTGATAAGCCTCTTGCACAGCAGCCCATAAGCTGTGGACATGGCCAAATCCCACAGCCAATCAGCCTGAGGGTCAATCCTACCTATTGATGTGCCAACAGTAGTCAAGCCTCAAGTATAATAGGAGGGCACACGCAACCCACATAAAGGATACTCTTGGAGCACCTGGAGCAGGTGACCAGGGCCAGGACCCCACAGGATACCTACTACATAAGGCCACTAGGCAAGAGACATAGCAGATCTACCTAATACATACAAACAGAGAAGCAGCCAAAATGAGGAAACAAAGAAATTCATCCCAAATGAGAGAACAGGAGAAAACTCCAGAAAAATAACTAAACAAAATGGAGAAAAGCAACCTACCAGAGACTGAGTTCAAAACAATGGCTATAAAAATGCCCAAGGAACTCAGAACTTCAACAAACAGATAGCAAGCATTAAAAAAAGACATAGAAACAATAAAAAAGAACTAGTCAGAAGTGAAGAATACAATAACTGAAATGAAGAAAGCACTAGAAGGCATCACCAGCAGACTAGATGAAACAAAGGATTAATGATTTGGAAGACAAAGTAGCAGAAAACACCCAATCAGAGCAGCAAAATGAAAAAAGAATTTTAAAAAATGAGGAGTGTTTAAAAGACCTCTGGGACAACATCAAATGTAACACCATTCGTAATTTAGGGGTACCAGCAGAAAAAGAGAGAAAGCAAGGGATTGAGAATCTCTTTGAAGAAATAAAGACTGAAAACTTTCCTAACCTGGTGAAGGAAACAGACATACAAGCCCAGGAAATGCAGAGAGTCCCAAACAAGATGAACCCAAACCGGGCTACACCAAGACACATTATAATTAAAATGGCAGAAAGCAGAAAGAGAAAGGCAACTAGTAACTTATAAGGGAACTCCCATAAGACTGTCAGCTGATTTCTCAACAGAAACTTTACAGGCCAGAAGGAATTGGAATGAAATATTCCAAGTGATGTAAAGCAAAGATACAACCAAGATTACTCTACGCAGCAAGGTTATCATTTACATCGAAGGACAGATAAAGAACTTCCCAGACAAGAAGAAGCTAAAGGCGTTCATCATCACCAAACCAGTATTACAAGGAATGTTAGAGGGACTTCTTTAAGATGGAAAAAAAAAATAAAAAATATGAATAATAAAATGGCAATAACTATATACCTAGCAACAAGTACTTTCAATGTAAGTGGATTAAATGCTTCAATCAAAAACATACGGTGGCTGAATGGATTAGAAAAGAAAACCCTTACTTATGCTCCTATAAGAGACACACTTCAGATTGAAAGTCACAGACAGACTGAAAGTAAAGGGATGAAAAAAGATGTTTCATGAAAATGAAAAAAAAACCTGGAGTAGCAATACTTATACCAGACAAAGTAGAGTTTAAAACAAAGGCTTTAACAAGAGACAAACAAGGACCCAATAATCCCACTTCTGGGTATTTATCTAACGAAGCCCAAAATGCTACTTTGAACATATGTGCATCCATATGTTCATTGCGGCATTATTTACAATGGCCAAGATGTGGAGGTAGCCTGTGTGTCCATCAGTGGATGAATGGATACAGAGTAGATTACATACACACACACACACACACACACACACACACACACACACACACATANATGAATGGATACAGAGTAGATTACATACACACACACACACACACACACACACACACACACACACACACATATATATATATATATATATATATATAGTGGAATATTGCTTGGCCATGGAAGGGAATGGGTTCTTGCCATCTACAGCAGCATGAATGGACCTGGAAGATATTGTTGTGCTGAGTGGAGTATGTCAGACAGAGCAAGACAGATGTAATGTGATTTCACTTATATGTGGAATCTAAAGAACAAAATAAATAAACAAACAAAGCAGAAACACATTCATAGATACAAAGGATATTTTGATAGTTGCCAGATGGGAGGGGAGTTGAGGGTGGGTGAAAAAGGTAAAGAGATTAAGAAGTACAAATTAGCTGTTACACAGTAGTCATGGGGATGTAGGGTACAGCATAAGGAATATAGTCAATAATATTGTAATAACTATGTATGGTGTCAGATGGGAACTAGATTTATCAGCGTAAT